CAGTGGGAGGTGGGTCCAGAGCAGGGGGTACAGCTGCAAGGGGCTCACAGTGCTTCTGAGAAGATCGGGGTGCGCGTCCTTCATCTTTTCCTCTGATAGTACGTGACGTGAGAGGACCACGAGAGTGTGAGTGGGGAGCTGCTCATGCTGTGGGAAGAGGGTTTTCCTTACCAGCTGCTGACTGGTTACCCAGGCCCTAGTCAGCCCTGGCCAGCCACGCTGGGGGAGGGGGCGGGGGGGGTGAGCTGGGGTCGAGCTGGGAGCCTGCCCCTCCAGGTGTGCCCAGACCCCTGTGTTCACCAGGCCGAGAGGCGGGGGCAGCTTGCCCACCACCCAGTGCTGGGTCCTCCTCTGGAGACGGGGAGGCCGCCAGGCCCACTGGGAGGGCCCTCAGCGGTCCCTGCTCAGCACAGCAGAGGCCAGAACCAGGGGGCCAGAAACAACAGGAACTCCTGACACTGTTTTGGGGCTAAAGGGGCTGGCAAGGGTGGGGTTCTCTGGGTGCTCCGAGGGGCGTCTGTGCCCTCACCCAGCTTCTCACCTGGCTGGCCCCCGGGGCCAGTCCTTGCCCGCAGCCCAGCTGGCTCTCCCTGTGGCAGGTGCTCCAGGGTGCCGTCCACATGTCTCTCCCTCCCTGGGTGGGCACTCTCCCTGCCCCGCCCTGTGTGAGCCGCAGAGGCCCTGGCTCAGGCAGACGTGGGCCTGGGGGTCATAGTTCAGGATGGCGTGTTTAGAGATGACTTTCTAGAGAGAGAGCTCCTGGATGCCGTGCGTGTACGGAGGGTTTGCTGTGGGATTGTTCATCACGCCCGAGGACCCCCTACCCGGGTGGTGTCTCGAGATCACAGGTTTTTAGTAATCTAAAAAATTGTAAACCAACTCAGGCAAGGTTTTGTCTAGACTCTTAAATCTGAGGTATAAATTAAGACTGGCCTAATTTTGTTGCTCGCTGGCTCAGGGCTGCCAGTGTTACCAGGGACAGCTAATCCTCCCGATGAGAAAGTGACGAGCAGCTCCTTACCTGTTTGTCAGTGGGTGGGTGTAAAATGCTCGCTGTTGAATTCCCTCCTGCCCTCAGATGCCAGAACGATTAATAATGGAGCTTTCTCGTCTAAATATAGTAAAGAAATCTAACCCACCCAGGTAGGCACCATCTGAACATACAATTCTGTCTTTTCAATTTCTTTCTTTAAAATTTCTGCTTTCTGTTGTGTCTCCAGTTTCCAGTGCTGGTAGAGGGTGGGTTTCTTTGGGTTGCTGTCTCTTGAAATTTGTGTCAGTCCTATCGAGGCCTCCCTGCTCGATTCTAGGCCAGTGCTGACCAGGGACAGTGGACGTGTGCCCTGTCCGGGCTCCGTGCTCCCGATCTGTCCTCGCCCGCGTGGCAGCCCCTGGGAAGGGAGCCTGTGCAACTGAGGAGCTGGATTTTGAATAGTATTTAAATTTAAATGCCCCATGGAGCTGGTGGCTAGGAGGTAGGACTATTTCTGATTTATTTAAATAAGTTGAATAAAGAAGTGCACACCTTAAAATGATTTCAGTTGGGGTTAATCATCTTCCATACCTGATCGGCAATTTTATTATACATACTGCTCTCTGAAAGTGATGACTAGCAAGGAAGTCCCCACTGAGAAGGCCGTCTCCCCCAGAATACTGGGCAGCCCTTAAGAAGGACGGGGAGATGCTCGGGATACTGCCGAAAAGTCATTCCCACGGGAGCCTGTTTCTCGTGGGGAAGCCCCCCAGGAGCTCTTTTGTCAGTCAAGGCGCTGATGCCCGGCAGGGGCTCTCCTGCACCACTGTCTAATGTAGAGCTTTCCGCAGTTCTCTTGTCAGGCCGCCCGCCTGTGTCTGCGCAGGTCTTTCTTTCCCCTTCTCCTGTCCTCTAAAAACTTGCCATTAAAAAAAAAAAAAAGATGGTCACTTTCCCTGAATCCTTTTCTTCATAGTGTGACTTTATTTTTAGCAACCTTTTGATTTTGAATTTTCAATCAAAGTTTATTATATTTAAACAAGTGGGTTAAAAACATTTTAGCCAAATATAATTTAGTCCATGTGCTTCTTTGGATATTTTTATCAATATCTTTCCCCAATTTTGTTAACCTGGGTAAACCTGGGTAATAAACATTTGTCTCCTGTTTATCATGTAGTTGCACAAAATTGTAGGTTAAGGAACATTTATCTTAATATATTATAATTACAATAATAACCAACTCTGGGCTCTTGACAAATGCTGTTTTGATGAACGTGCTGTAATCTTGCATTAATGAATCTAGAATAGTGCTTAGGATACACCGAGGTCCTTGACAAAATATATTTGACTTTGAATTGCTCTTTTCTCCTGAAGGGTGTGAAACATTTGAAGTACTAAGGTAGCCCTCAAAACATCATGACGTTGGAGCCCAAAATGACAACTTTTTAAAAATCCTAATGTATATTTTTTTCCTGATAGAATTCCGGGTTTTCTTCAGGTTAGAACTAAGCTTCACAAAAAGAAAATGTGCTTGATCAGTTATTCTCAAAATCTCCTGATTAGGACACACGTAATAGTGTGTGTGTGTGTCTATTTAGGAAATTTACTTGTAATGCGTGAACACCTGTCTTGTCTGTGGGTGATACTCATATCTGGGGTGAAATCCACCAAAGGACACGTTCTTTATAAAGGGTGGGTCTCTTCCGGCCTTTGGGCCTCGTGATGGTCCACATATGTGGGCGTCTCTGCAGCACAGTGAGCTGGAGGTGTGTCTTTGGAGGATTTCTTACCCTACAGGTGTATGTGCACGCAGTGCATTCAGGCTCTAACAAGAGGTGCAGATCAGGAGCTCAGTCCTGCATCCCGAGGGCTCTGCTGGAGAGGTCTCGCACAGGCCCTTCCGGGGTGCCTTGGGTATAGATGAGCCACGTGCGCAGAGGAGGGGGGGCTTGGGCCTGTGGTCTTTGCAAGAGCCCAGGCTCCGACACTTTCTTTGCCCCTCCCGGGGCGCTGACACTGTCTTCAGGATGTTTCAGGAGTGATTGCAATCAAGTGATTTTCGCAGTCCTGTTTAAAGCCTAGTAATATTATACAGTCATGTTATTTAGCTGTCAGTAAACAGTGATGGTTCTGGTAAAAGCAAAAAGGAAAAGGTGGATGAGAAATTAGTGCTTGTGCAGTGACTGAGAAGGAAGTGGCCGCTTGAACTCACATGGCATTTAAAGAAGTGTCTCATTCTGTGTGTCTCTTGTCTCTTGTAAGGCACCGCTTAAGCATTTGGGGCCTATTTATATCACTTTGCTTCTGCAGTCACTCTTAAGAAATGAAAATGATATTTTTAGGTGTATTTGACAAAACTCTATTAAGTCTGTCCACTGTAAATTAGAAGTCCTACTTCCACTTACTGGTCTTGTGATCTTAGAGGGCACTGATGGGGGCCCGAATCGTGGACACCCCATTTAGTCACCGTATGACCACAAGTCTCTCCAGTCTCATCTGCACGATGAGGAGTGATGATTGACATGATGGGCAAGAAAAAGTGGAAGTTATATTGGCTGCTTAACTCAAGCCCAGAAGCCTCAGGAGCTTCACCTGTCACAGTTTATTCTACGGGGACGTGAACTGACCTGCCCTCAGCTGTGCGGGCGCCGGCCTCCTAGATGCCGGGGCAACATACACCCACCTGGCTGCTGGGCGGAGGGGCGCAGGCAAGGCAGGAGGTTTGGGTGGCCCTGGGCCTGGCGCTCCCGATCACTTTGCCCACCTGCCGCTGTCTGAAAGTCAGACATAGAGAGGGGAAGTGGGAGGTGCGGGCGGGGGGTGCGCGGTGGCTGAGCAAGACCATCACCGTGGGGTCGGCTCCGGGTGTGGAGCGGGGTTTGTGGGGTGTGTGAGAGATGAAGGAACTTGACTGTCATTGAGGTCTCTGGAGCACTGTTTGAGGAGTAGTGAGCATGTAACGTCAGGAACTCATTTCATTCCCAGCAAGTCCGCCAAGACGTCCTCTTTTGCTGTTTTTTAACACTGACCGCACAGACGGTCCTGGAGCCAGTCCAGCACCCCTTCTTCCTGTTTTTTAAAGTTTCTATCATAGAAAAACTGTCCTGTGCACATTGTGGGGGTGCCTGGGTGACCCGCCCCGTGGTGAACAGCTGTGCCTGTCAGCCCCTCTCCCTGTGGCTCCTGTCCCCTGAGCAGAGGGTCCTGCCGGAGACGCTTCTGAGCGTGCTTCTAAAAAGCAAAGACTTGGAAAGAACCAGAGCCAGCCACCGTCTCCCCTGAAAACCACCCACAGCCCTGCCCCTGCAGTGCCCCTGCCTGCAGGCCCCGAGGACCCACGGCCACACGTTCGCTCCTGGCCTGCCTGTCATCACTCCCTTTTCCATGCTGGGTATTTGCTGATGAAGCCGGTCTCGTGCCTGCAAAGGCCCCGCGTCCTGGGTCTCGCTGCTTGTGTCCCCGGGGTGGGGGCCGGAGGCTCGACCAGCATCAGGTTCAGTTTTGCTGTCACGGTGGCCTCTTGAGGGGGCTCCCCATGTACCTGGCTCGTTGTGACTTGCCACTCATGGTGGGGCTCCCCCTGGCCCGCCGGTGGCCGCAGACCATGGTGTCCTAGCTGCGGTCCTGTCATTTCATCGGCAGGGTGGGGCGGGGCAGGCTGGTGCCCGGACTTCTCCTGCCCCATAGCGGAGGGCAGTGTCGCCGCTGGGCCGAGAGTATCTTCCCGCCTGATGTGAGTAGGTTCTCGTCACTTGTGTGTCTGTCACTGCAGGGAAGTGCCTGGAAAGTCGCAGATAAGGGAAGGCCACCCCCACCCCAGCTGCTGGGGCCTGCGGTGCCAGAGATAGCGGGTGTGCGTGGAGGGGTTGGGTGGCCCAGAGCCGGGCGCTGTTCTCAGCACTGTTGTCCTGGCTTGCAGGTGAGCAATGCCCGGGGCCGCCTGGTCCCCCTTCCCGGAAGAGGCAGGGGAGGTGAACCTCGTCGCTGGCCCTGGAGGCAGCCCATGGCGGCCCCCCCATGTCTGGATTGTTCAGTGAAGCGCGGGTGAACCCCTACCTGCTGTGTGCCCCCACACCCACCCATGCCTTAAGCCCTGACCAGGCCCTGCTTCCCCACGTCTTAGGTCACTTGGAGCCAAGCGGGGGTACCTGGGCCCTGGCGACGCCAGGGGTGGGGTGAGGGTGGCGCATTTTTCCCGAAGTGTTTTTCCCACAGACGACAAGGTTTCATTCTAAGGGTTTGTGACATAGTCAGTCAGCTCTGAGTGGTCCTTGAAGATGTTCACTAGGCTAGGATAAAAATGACCGCAGCGACATCAACACTCATCAGCCGGGGAAAATGGAAATATTTTGTGCCATCATCTCAAGGCTTCAAACACTTGTTTGTGGTATATTTTATTTACACATACACACAGATTAATTTTTACAGACATGTGTAAAACCATTCAGAAAACAAGAAACTATTTAATGGGCAAAATAAGGTGTAAGGGCTCCTGTTGTGCATCCTGCCCCCTGAGCACGGCTGTGGCGGCCACTCCACATCGGCCGCCACAGCTCCAGAGACCCAGCGGCTGCGTAAGTGGACGGTGTCTCTGAGTGGTCTTCTCCTGCTGGACGAGCAAGCTTTTTCCCCCTCTCAGTCTTTGAGGCTTAGAAATAAAGTGTAGCCGCGTGTCCTTATGGCTGAGCCTCTGTGCGCCCCATCACTTACTCGTGCTGTGTTCCCGTGCGGCTTTCCTGGGCCGCAGGTTTCACTGATTTTGAAGACTAAGACCGGCAGCTTTCACTGTAGCCAGACTGTGCCAGGCTGTACTCCGCCGGCACGACACAAGTGCACCTGCTTACCTGCTTCCTCGCCTGCCCTAGGCGCTGTGGTCTTGAAGGGAGCACCGAACATTGGTTTGGGAATGTGAGGCCCCTTGTCCCCGCTCAGAATCAACGATCCGTGTCGCTGTCTGGATCCAAAGCAGAACTGGTGAGAACCAAGGGCTGCTTCACTGCCCCGCGGCTGTGGGGCCCAGGAGCCCACCTGTGGTGGGTGGGGGCTGCAGGGCAGGGGAGTGGCTCGCGTGGAGAGTTGTTTGAAAGGCGGCAGACTGGAAGGGTGAGGAGTTCAGGCAGGTGGAAGGGCCAACAGGGAGCGTCTAGAGAAGGACAGTGGCATAAGCCAGGGGTTCTCTTTCATAGAAAGACCTCTGGGAAGATTAGGGTTCCCTCTCAGTGACCCCTTATTGCTCTTCTGAGTTGAAAGTATGCCTGTCATCAGAAATAAAGCCTCAGCACCCCTGATTTCTCTGACGAGGGTGGTACACCCCCAAAATAAGTCATCTTGGCACAGAGGGGCATTCCTGGGGCCGGAGGGGTGTGGGAGGAGCACTAGGAGAGGCGGACTGTGGCCTTGAGCGTCGAGGGCTCTCTGTGTGAGCGCACCTGGCAGGATCATGAGCAGGTGGAGCTGGCCTTGCAGGTGTGTGGGATGGGGTGGGGGAGGGGCGCTGGCAGTAGAGAACCCAGAAAAAGCAACCGAGAGGTATTGTAGACAGGTGTGGGACAGAGAGGGGTGCTGGCGCCCTGAGGCCCCATGTGGCGAGACCTGGTGGTTAGGGAATAAGTGAGCCCTGCTCAAGCCCGAGTTGCTGAGAACAGCAGCTTTTTTATTTCTAAAAGTTATCGTGAAATGCAGCTTATAAAATGATGTAAGCCAAATCTCAAGATTCGTGCTATGTCTAGCTCTGCTTGCCACGTGACTGGACAGCACCTGCGTGTCCAGTGGAAGCGGGATGAAGGGCCACGCTGAGGGCGGGTGCAGGTGCTGTGGAGTGGAGCCGGCTGCTCTGTGGGGCTTCTCCCTTGCACAGCGGGCTGCAGGCCCGGGGCACCTGGCTGATGCCCTGGAGGGACAGGGGTGAGGGGGTAGTGAGATGGCGGCCTGTGTTGCACTGAGGGGCGTTTAGCAGCATTTCTGGACTCTTCTGACAGCGGTCTGCAGACACTGTCAGTTGGGGGGGGCAGGGGCCCCCCAGTTGAGAAGCACTGGTCTGGAGTACAGACAGGGTTATTCAGTGAGGACAGTGCTGGCGCACAGCTCGTCCCCAAATACTTGTTGAATAGACAAACCATCAGCTTTGGCTTGGGATTCAGCACAGGAGAAGTCGTGGAGACTGACAGTGGGGGTGACCCCCCACACCCCAGCTCTTGCTCTCTACTCCAGCCCCAGCCTACCGTGCGCCCCCGCCTGCCCTGCCTGGTCTGCCTTCCCCGTGGAGACCTCTGTTCCTCCTTCCGAGTCTGGGCCTCGCGTCCCCTCTTGGCTGCTGTCCGTACCGTGTTATGGAAGTGGGTCCCCGACTGGGGTGGGTGACAGGTTGGCTCAGTCAGCGGCGCCCAGACCTGCTGCCCCAGACGCTCTTTCCCCGGCGACTGCGACCTGGGAGCGACCTGAGAGCGGGGCGGTCGGCTGGGGGTCCCGCACCCCAGGCTCCCGCAGCTCCCAGCTGCCTCCACCCTGCCAGCCAGTCACTGTCCTGTCACTCTCCTGTCCCGGCTACTTGAAGCAAACTCTGGATTTTAAATATCAGCATTTCACTAGGTAACTGGATATTTTTTTACACGACTCCTGCTAAAGGGGTTCCACTGGTGCTGTGGGGTCCATGGGCCCAGGCGAGAGCAGAGGGGGAGGCCAAGATGGTTCTTTCTAGAAGCTGGAGGATGAAGGGGAGGAGGGAGCAGACCCGAAGCACAAGTTCGGGAGAGGTTTCTCTGGAGAAGCTGTGTGGCTGAGTTGATTCCTTGTGAGTTTTATTTATTTTTTTCTTTTTTGTGGGACCCTCGCCGGCAGCCAGGGAACGAACCGGCGCTACAGAGGCTGCGGTAGGCCTCGCAGCCCGCTTGTGAGTTTTTAAAGGAAGTGAGTTTGTATCTTTAACTAAAGTTGAAAATAGAGCACAATTAACATGCCGACCCCGGAAACCCTAGATCTCTGAGAACAGGTTCGATCTCGTAGTAGACCTCGGGCCGCAGTGTCTGTGCAACCCGCCAGGCTGCCAGGAGCTGGGTGCCACCCCCCAACCCCCCAGCACATGCCCCAGAATGGGGCGGAAGTGAATGAACACCTGAGTGTTTGCTTTGTCCGGGGGAGGGTCCTGGCAGCCTCTGTGGGGCAGGAGCCCACAGGAAGCTGCTCTGTCCTGGGCAGACGCAGTCCAGTGAGGAAAGAGAAACCAAAAAGAATACAACCCCCCCCCCCCACCTTCCAGCTCCTGGAGCAGTCACAGCTTGAGTAATGGGGCTGGCACCTGAGTGTCGTGGGGGGCCAGGCACAGGAGGGGCACTGAGAGGGTGGGGCCCATGGGGGTGAGCTCCCTTTTCAGCATTTTCAGTGGTGAGAGTTCATGCTCCCTCCTCCTCCGTGTGGTTTCACGACTGCACAGTTGTCGGCAGCAGCACTTACAGTTTAAGAAATGGAATGTCATCCCCCAGTTTTTCCTGTCCCTTAAACTGCCCCCCACCACACCACATGCCCATCCTCCGCCCTCCAGCGAGACCCTTTGAGGTCTTGTCTGACCCTCTTGGGTCCTCGCGTGCGCCCATCGTGTGTTCACATGCTTTTATTATTTTTTTAAAAAGATTTATTTATTTATGCATACAAGAGCTGGGGTACAGGCCAGAGATGCAGCGGGTGAGAGGACTCACCAGAGACAGAGTGGGGAGCAGAACAGGCAGATCTAAGGAAACACACTGCTGAGGGGAGCAGTGGACGAGACAGGAGAGGTCTGCTGCACCCTGTGGGTTGCTTTCTGCCCGGCCGGGCTGCAGAGGCTTCGTATTTGCTTCACAGTGCGGCGCTTAACCCCTTGCGCCACGAGGGAGGCTGCAGAGCTGCCAGGACTCTTGCGGCCTGTGGCCGCTCCCCCATCCCCCCTCTCCCCCAGATTTGCCTTTGCTCGTGCAGCACATCTTCACTTCTGGAGTAGCCCCCCTCGCCCCCCACCGATTTCCTCTCGCTCATGCTTCCCCCAGTGGTCAGAGCCTCTGTGCATTGTTCTTGCGCTTGCCTTGGGAATCACGGCCTGAGTGTTTATCTGCCGAGACACAGTTGCTGATCCGCCTCAGCCTGAACGGCCCCCTCTCCCTGCCTCCCAGACGCCACTGTCTCCTTTCACACAGTCTATTTAGAAACAGTGACAGGCAAGGGGTTAAAGTCTCAGCACTATCAAGCTGTCATGCATGAGTTCGATCCCTGCCAGGGAGCTGACCCGCATGGCACAATACACCTGTCCTGTCTCCCCACTGCTCCCCTCCGCAGTGGATTTCCGTGGATCTGCCTGTTCTGTTCCCCACACTCTGTGGTGAATCCTCTCACCCCCACCCCCCACACCTCTGGCCTGCACCCCAGCTCTTGTATGCATAAATAAATAAATCTTTAAAAAAAAAACACAGTGACAAGTCCACTTCGTGTTCCTCGACATTCCTGCTTAAGCCTCAGATTTTCATCCTGGGGAGTGTCCTCCTTGCTGCACCTTAAGAGGGTAATTGACGGCATCCCTGTGATACGTACAGAAATCCCACTATTTTCCTAAAATTGGCCCTCCTCTTTCAAAGGTCGCCTTCCTCCTGTGTAGTGTTTTATGTGTGTCCTTGGTCCCAATGTGAAATACACTTTTTTATTTCCAGCAGTGAAAAGCCACCCGGTGTGTTTGCAAAGGCCCTACGCCCTCAGCTCCCCTGGCAGGACTGACCAGCGCCCAGCCTGTCCACGCTTCCACCCGGGGCCTGGCTGTTCCTGGGGGCTCAGCGTCCATCAGCCCTGGGCATGACCAGGGCAAGGACTTTCCAGCATGTTCAGTGGGAGTTAGCACTGGTCAGCCCTCACTTGCTGAGAGACTGAGCACATGAGCCTCTCCTCTCTCTCTCTCCTCATCTGCCCTCAGTCGCCGCGTGGCCTGAGACTTTTGTTTGTAAATCTCGTCTGGTGTTTTTTGTCTTCCCGCTGGAGACAAGGGTTCATTCACAGGCTGCATAGTCACGGATGTATGTTTGGATTCATTTCTGCCATCTTTTTTTGTGCTCGTCCGTTAGATCCTTTAACCCCTTCCATGTTTGTGTTTATTTTGAGTAGTTTTCTCCTTGCAATATTTCTGTTCAGAAGTTTGGTGCAGTTTTCATTTTTGGCCTTTTGTACATGATGCATCCCTCTTTGCCACTGTAACTAACCGTGGTGCTTCCTTTCTCTCTTTCTGTACATCGTGGACCATTATTGTGGAACTCTTTCACTAGGACACCAGAAGGTGAAAAAGACCGGGTCAATAGCTTTAAAAAGGGCTGATTTTTAGGGCTTTTTTAGGTGTGTCCAGATTTTGCGCCTGGATGGAAAGTATAGGTCCCACATTTCCCTTGCCTCAAGATTTATTTATTTGTTTGTTTATTTTTAAATAATAAATTTTATTTTTATATTCCCCATACAATTGCAACCCCCCCCTTCTGATCCCAATCCCTCCCCTCCCACCCCCCTCAAGATTTATTTAAAAGGAAATTTCAGGTGAAGTAGTTGCTAAAGTTGCTCATTTTTAATTCGAGGACCTTCTGAAAAGTTGATGTTACATGGATCTCTTCTATGTGTTTCTGGTTTTTGAACAAATGCAAATTTTTGTATGTACTGTAAGCTCTTTGATTGCAGAGTGGTAAAATAAGAATAATGAAAATATTTTTAGGTATTTCTGAAGTGGTTTTATTTTTATTTTAGGTAATTGTGATGCCTGTCTCACCCTCACTCTTGTCCAGTCTTTGTGAAACCTTAGTGCCTGGCACACACATGTGGGCGCCACATGTGCTGCCAGCTGTCGGGGCACCTGCACATAAAGATCTCTGGCTTGTTAGGGGGGTGGGCCGAGGCCGGTGTGAGTGATCACGCCCATTCTGAACTGGTGTGATGATTGCGGGCTAGTTGATGGGAACATGGTTACTCTTGATTTTTCT